TGGACAGCCTCTAAGACTGTGCATTAGGAGTACGGCCGTCGGCAAAACGCCAGAGTCCGACGATATCTGATCATCAATTTTGTCTTTTATGAAGTGCGGAGCACCTTTAGCTTAAGACCTGAGCTTGGCCCCTGTTGACACCACCACTAGCGCCGCTTATGTCCACATATTAATCACACGTTTTGCGTGGAGCTTAATGGACAGACGTTTATAGGTGGGACCGGGAGCCTAAATGCATTTACCGAAGCCGCTGTGTCACGGGCGTTTTAGAGCCGAACATCTCAGGGCAGCATGTTGCAGAAATTAAAAGCACGTGAATTTGTATAGTAGAGGGAGAACATCATGCCACTGTAATAAATTAAACACCAATATAATTCACCGAACTAAAGTCATTTAGATCTATTCGTCAGGCTAAATGTCGCTAGTCTCATCGTCATAGTCATTTAGTGCCTGTTTTGATTTTTTTTTAATTACGCGGTATCTCTTTCTTAAACATTAGCCTAATGACAAATGACGTCACACGCGCCGCGAACTTTGTGACGTTGTGCTTATTGGGGGATGAAACGGCGTGGTTTAGAAAAATGACGTATTTCTTTTTTTTTAAGTGATAGATTCTAATTTTCCTACGAACTATAGGTTCATCTAGTTTTTTTTTTCTAGAGGGAGATATCACTATATTGTGATGGGGGGGGGGGGGGGGGGGGATTTATATATAATCTCAATATATTCTGATCTACTACTATTCATACGGCAACCATTATACTCATGAGGAGGACGGGAATCACTCTTATGTTCCGCAGACACTAATTAACAATGTCAACAACTTCGTTTATGAAATAACATGAACTTTATTAACACACACTTATAGATCATTTGTACAATATCAAAAAATACGTCCGTCTTCTACTATATCTAACCCCCAACTAACTTCATTGCTGCGTCTTACGTCATCGGTACATTGTCGCACCATGCTCACGTCACACTCACGCCACACAAATTTTATTGAACACGCGCACAATACTCTCGCACCAAATCGTCTACTGTCAAGTTCGTACCGTCCTATGGTAACCTCTACTCGTCTAGTCTAATTCTATATATCTACGCTATGACATATATAGTGGGTGGTTTTTTGTTGTTGTAATAATGTGTGGTGGGGAGGGGTAAACATTGACTACTGAAGAAATAAAAAAAACTGATGATAGCAGAAGGAAAAAAAAAAAAAAAAAAACAAACCATGTGGTATTCAAATGTAACTAATTAAAATTTGAACCTATTTTAAAAAACACAATAATCTTAATTCAGAAAAGGTGTAGGCCTAAGACTAATGTCTACAGACAAAAAAAACAACAACTAGGCTTAATTAAATGGATCGCCCATAAATGACGTCATACTTTTCCCGACGATTTCCCTCTCACCCATTAGTTACTAAAAGCAAGATGATGATTTAATATCATATCGCAGTTCTACTATACCCGAACCCTTAATCACAATTTCTAACGAACACGAATATATTCTTCATCATTTTTGAAAAAATATTTTACACCGTCCCATATTTTGAGTCCAACGTCATTTATGAAGAATATGGACGACCTAATAATTGACAAGTTAATCAGTACAAACAAAAGGGTTTAATAAATGTTGGACCTCCCAAAAGTCTTTGAGATCTTGGATGTACATACATACATAGCCTTAATTTCAATTGAAATTAAAGATAAGAAGACGGCCCTCTGTCCCACTTTTATTAAACAAGACAGCTATGTATATTCAACAACAAAATCAACACAATATACATACGAATAGACATGTGTATCAAGGGAAACTACTCTAAATTTTATTTGGAAAGATGGCCGCTGTTTTTATCTGCTAATATTTATCTCAAACACCTTGTTTAAAGTTAGTTTCATGATATTTTAAATTGTTTTGGTCAGTGATTGTTATATTAAATCAATTATCTGTTATGTTTTGTAACATTTGACTTAAATTATACTTATTTAAACAAATATAATAATATATTCATCAGTTTCAGTTACCTTTCCCGCACATTTCTACTGCAGCCGAATTGATTACGCTAAAACGATAGATTACCAAATCTATCTAGTCTAGATGATCCAGATCTAGAAACTTATAGATCTAGAATCTAGATCTAGATCTAGCTAGATCTCTAGCTTAGAGCACTCACAGAACTCACAGTCACAGTGAGTAGTCACTGCACAGGCCTAACAAACAAAAATAATGAAACGTGCGTTAAAAGCATTCTACAAAAACATTGGTAACAATTAATAAGAATAATGTTAAATATTAGTAATCTGAGCATAACAGTCATAAAAAAATAAGCCAACTACAATGAAAAGTGATACAAACGAATTTTGAAAGCCTGAATCGAACTGAAAATATTCCCTTGTTCGCCATTTTGTTTTCTTGGATCACCTTGTCAGTATTTATCATGGACAATAAATGTTATGGATTTCATCGTTTTACTCTCCCTGGCCACTTCAGTTCAGTTCAAGGTGGGGTTAAGGGCAGTTTTATAAAATATTTAAATTTATACAATAATTGAAAATCATTTTCAACGGCTTATGTTCAATACAAAAATATGAAAATGAGTGTAATCGATGGTTCCCAAACGGCTTTAATTTTTGAAAATGTAGCTATAATTTTATCGCTTCCTAAATTTTTTAAAATAATTTTTTAAAAATTTAGTATGATTATATAGACTTTTCCTACCTATTGCAGGTGTACATAGGGCCTAAAGTCTAGTAGTTTACAGTAGGCACATTAGTATGCCTAGTGTGTAGCTAGTATACTAGTGTGTAGCTGTCCAGAGTTGACATTCTTGTATGTAAAAAGGGGTGGTACTAACTAATCTGCCTTAATTCTTTCCCCTGATAAGCCATGTGTGCTATACATTACATAACATGACATGGAGGTGAAAAATGTTGAGGGGAGAGCAGTTGTACTGGTTTCCCCTTTGTTCTCCTTGCTGGACCCTGAGGGCCATAAGTTACATACGGAGATGCTATCTCTGGTTGGCTGAGATCTAAGAACTTAGTCCATGTTACCTACAAAGAGATGAAGTTTTATGGTGGGTTAGATACAGGTGGGGTCTGGCTATCATGGAGGTGAGAAAATGTGAGGGGAGAGCAGTGGTACTGATTCCTCTTTGGTCTCCACCCTGCTAGACCATGAAGGTCATATATTACATAACATGCCACCCCAGATTGTCTGAGATCTGTAACTGTAATCCATGTTACCTACAAAGAGATGAAGTTTTATAGTGGGCCAGAAACTTGTGGGGGCTGGGTATCATGGGGGTAAGAAATTGTAAGGGGGGAGCAGTGGTATTAATGTGTCTGTTTACTTCCCTGCTGGACCATGAGGGTCATAAATTATATAACATACCACCCCAGATTGGCTGAGACCTAAGAGCACTTATTCCTGTTACCTACAAAGAGATTAGAAGTTTTATGGTTGGTTAGAAACAGGTGGGGGCTGGGTCGGCTGTATTGCCCCTTAGGGGTAATAAGTACATGTACCATTTTAAAAATTACCTTGCTAACATCAGATGGCTGAATTTTTACTTTTTAGCAGGTTAGAATTGTATTTCTATCATTTAGACACAAGTCTGTTTAACAATTAATACATTTTGTGTTAACTATTCCTATACCAGTGTCATATTCAGTGGTCTAATAAATGAGAAACTTGCACTTAGGGTTTCAAGAGCCACATAACAGTATCTGTTATAACTTTTCTAAACAGGCAAGCTAGTAGACAAAATTAATGTTTTCATGTAGATTTAGTTATTATCTAACAAATAAAACCATTATGGTTATGATCAGTCAAGTTTTACTCTGATAATGATAAAAACTTTATAGCATGGTAAAATGGGACAAATGTCGGCCATTTTGTTTTGGCACCAATAATCACTGTGCAAAAAAAATTCACCAAAATAAAACTATTCTAGCCATAGCTATAAAAATAGTGTTAAAATGTACAACAACCAATGCTCTAATACAGGAACAAAGAATGGGCTTGAAAAACTCATTTGGTTTATTACAAAGTAAAGTTTCCAAAGTTATGTCTATTTGGAAAAAAAGTTCACAAAATGGTTTTATGGAGATGAGAAATTTTAGGGAAAGAGCAGTGGGATTAAATCCTGTCTCATCCTCTCCCTATTGGACCAAGTGGGTCATAAATTACATAAAATGAATCCTCTGCTTCTCTGTTATCAAAGAACAGCAGTGGTTGTTACCTCAGAAGTAGATTAGCAGTGTTATTGGGGGTTTTGTGGGGGTGGGGTGTTGATTGGGGCTTAATACCACACGGCTCTTAACGCCCTTCTTTACCCTATATTGAACTATATTGTGATATGTTTGTGTCAAATATTATAGATAAATTAATAATAAACCTGAAGCAATGGCTAAATAAATATATAATAATTAAATATATCAATATACTTCAATATAGGCCAGAAATTAACTTTAAACAGCAGTGTCTGTGAGCAAGATTTACTAGAATCTATATAAACAGCAGCCACTTGTAAAATAGAGTGGCTTTCCCTGAATCTCGCACTATAACTTTATAAAAATAAAACTAGATGGCTGCTATAGTAAATGAGCATGGTTGCATCTGTTGGAAACATCGCTAGTCTTCATTTATTACTGAAAATTTTTAATTCAATTGTTTAAAAACAGGTACATAAATGAAACAAGGAAACATTTTTGCATTTTAAAAAACATAAATCCTCCTCAAAATGTGAAATAATTATTAAAATTTAAGGAGTCACCTGTTTTTCACATTACAAGTCGCGGGCGATTTTACATACCTATAACGATAGATTACCGAGAATTTTTTACACTGGCACCCGAAAATCGTATCAGTATCATTACATAAAAAGTATTTGCCAAAAAAATCAGTCTGTTAGCTGTTCCCATTAAAAAAAAGTTAACTTTTGGTTAATTCAAGTTAGATCTAATTCTGTTGCCATTTTGTCTGTATTGCAGATTCTTGTAGTACAAAATGGTGGTATAGGAAATAATGTGGGCCAAAGTGAACTGTTACCACTGTTTACACAATATGGAGAGGTTGAAAATATTGTAATGGTTCCAAAAAAGCAATTCTGTTTTGTTTGTTTCTCATCTCAAAATACTGCATCCCAAGTATTAAATGAACTAAATGGATATCTTTTAAGAAAAGGATCTGATCCGACACAAGATGTTGTTCTATATTTTCTTTACACTGACAAAGGTAACATAGATGGGGTCATCCATAAATCATATTTTCTGCACATTCTTTTTATCCACTTACTTTCTATCATCACAAAAAATTAGACCAACCCCCCGCCCCTCTAAATGATGCCACCCCCTCCCGAATAGCAGTCTTTCCTTTTTAAAACTATTTCTTTCTATTTCTATGATATTGATAGAGTCCATAAGGTTCAATGAATAATGTTTTATATTTGTATTACATTTTTAAAAAAATCTTTAAAATTGTGAGATTGCTAAAATTCAGTTTGAAGTAATTTTTATCCCACCTCCCCCCATCTGTCAAAATATCACAAAATTCTGCCCCCCCCCCCCCCCCCCCCGAATGTGGTATCATTTATTGACTGCTTATTATTATATAGCACTTTTCAAGTTTATATATTTAACGACTGCATCATAAAAACTCTGACTAAATTTAATTTGTATGGAAGCACATGATTCAGCATTCCGTTATCTTTATAAAAAAATGTAAAAATTGCCTTGTTTGTTCCTTTACCTTGCAGTTCCAGTGAATATAATGATGACTAATAAAATGCCTCCGGGTCTTATCCTTAAAGAAGAGTTTATTACCCCAGCAGAAGAGGAAGAACTTTTAAAGCTGATGAACATGGAAGAAACGACTGAAAAAGGTTGGTTTAACTGTCAGAATGGTTTCATACTTTTTAAATAGCATTTGTCCATATATTGAGATCACTTCGCATAACTAGGATTCAATTTTTTATTTTATTAGTTTTGAAAATATTGTATTAACTTAATTATTCTGCACATTGAATACAAAAATTTAAGGTGTGATGAAACACAGGCAGGTGAAGCATTATGGGTTTGAGTTCAAGTATGGATTGAACGATGTGGACGTAACAGAACCACTGCCTTGTGGGATCCCAGAGATCTGCCATGGGTTCCTGAATAAGGCCATTGATCTTGGATTAGTAAAACATTTCCCAGATCAGCTGACAGTAAACCAGTACAAGCCAGGCCAAGGTTAGGTTGGTGCAAGAAATAATGATTTGCTTTTTACATGAACATTGGGTTTTTTTATAGGCTCTGGCAATAAGTTTGCAATAAAGTTTAAGAATCTCTGTTGGATTCACTTGTATGTTTTGTGAGTTACAGAAAAAAGCAAAATATTATCTGCCATTTTGTTATCAGGAATACCTCCTCATGTGGACACAGTTGAAGCTTTTGAAGATGGTATTATGTCACTGAGTCTGGGATCTCAAGTAAGTTTATTATTATAAACTGCATCTTTTACTTTTAGAAAACAAAACCCACACTTTCAAGTGTCGGAAACAAAACATAGGCTATTTATTAAAAAATGTGTATTAATTTAGGTTTTCAGTATTAAAATGAAAAAGTAACAAAAAAGTTTTCAACTTACATTAGATCTCATTATAAAGTTTTGCAGACTACAAATTTATATTTTGAGGATACTAAAACTACTAAATTTACTTTTTTAAAAAATGTAATTGGATTTTGACTCAATAAAAGATTATTTATCATTGTTAAGTCAGTTTCCATCTCATTCACATACCTAAAACCATCACTCCCTCAAATATTTCCCTCTGACTCCAAAAAATCTTTTAACCTCAACTGTCCAAGTTTAATAAATATTACCTATGACTATGATACCATGTTTATACAAACAAATTTATGTTCTAACTTTTCTAAACTAATGTAGGTGGTTATGGACTTCCGCCACCCTGATGGTGAACACCTGCATGTTCTGTTACCTCGTCGCAGCCTGCTAGTCATGACTGGAGAATCCAGGTACGTCTGGTCTCATGGGATCACGCCTAGGAAATCTGATGTGGTAGAAACTTCTAGCAAAGATGGAGTCACTCTTCTCACTAGAGATGTTAGAACTTCATTAACGTTTAGAAAAGTTGTGATGAACAGAGAAGAAAGACGATCAAATAGTAAAATAGTGGACCCAGATTCAAAGGTTGTCCCCCAAACTGAAAATGAAGCTATTGAACTGGAGCATCAGCATGTTCATAAGGTAGGTCAATTTCATGCAACTGTTTAACTTTTATGTCTTCTGTTCAACTGTTGAATGTCTTGATTTACTCTTACTAGGTGTATGATGACATAGCTGATCACTTTAGTGGTACACGCTATAAACCATGGCCCAGGGTAGTGGAGTTTATCATGGCCCAGCCACCACTCTCACTCCTGGTTGATGTAGGATGTGGCAATGGAAAATGTTTAGGGTTGAATAAATCCCTTTATGAGGTAAATATTATTGAGCTTAAATTTTCTATGAAAATGTATAGCTTAAAAAATAGGAATGACTATTAAACATAAAATAGGAACTAGATGCCTTCATTTTATAGTTTTTTTCTGTTAACTTTTCACACATATAAATAACTCCAAATTTACTTTTACAGATCGGTGGTGACTACAGTAGCAAGCTTGTTTCTATTTGTAGAAGTCGTGGGTTTGAATCTTGTATTTCTGATGTTACCTGTTTACCATTCCGCACTAATGCATTTGATGTGGTACTGTGCATTGCTGTCATTCACCATATGGCAACAGTGGTGAGAGACTTAGAAAAAACTTTTTGTAATGATTTTCTATGTACTAGTAGTATCATGTTTAAATTTTTATTTCCAAATTCCAATTTTTATGTATGGAAGGAGAAATGAAAACTATATCTCAATTATTTATAAATTCCCCTTTCCTGTGTTGATTTCAATCATTTTTACTGCTTTTAAAAAAAGTATATACAAAAGATTTTTCTTATTAAAATAGTTTATCTTACTGTTATTGTAGTTTTATTTTTAGAAAAACCATAACATCTTGTCATCATAGAAAATAAAATGTGACATTGTGTTCTTTTAATGACTTCCAGGAAAGAAGGCACCAAGCAGTTGCTGAAATAGTCAGAATACTCCAACCTGGAGGAAAAGCTCTTATTTATGTGTGGGCCATGGAGCAGCAATGTAACAATAAACAGTCCAAGTACATCAGCAAGAAAAAACAAGCTAAAAAAGGGAAACTTGAAGACATAACAAAAGATCCATCAGAGAAAGAGCAGAATTTGACAGCAGAGACATGCAAGATGGAAGGAGATGGCTTTGCTTCAACTATTGGACAATGTATTGAGAAGACAACTGCTCAACCAGGTTCTCAAGGTGACAACACAACAACAGAGGTTGATAAAAACTGTTTGGTTGAACAGTCTCAAGATACAAGCAGCAGTGACACTGTAAAACAAACAAAAACTCTATCCATCCATGTCAACAGAACTGAATTTAAAGAACAAGATCTTTTAGTTCCATGGCAGTTAAAAAATGAACATAGTGTTAATGAGTCGCCTGTGGAGGGAAAGAACATTTTTCACAGATTTTATCATGTATTCAAACAGGGTGAGCTGGAACAGATTTGCACAAATGTATCAGGCTGTAGAGTAAGAGACAGCTACTATGATCAGGGCAATTGGTGTGTGGTTGTTGAAAAGTTATAAAGCAATAAAAGTCACTGTTGAAATTCGAGTTTTTTAAATTAATTTAAACATTCTGTAATTAATAATGAAAGCGAAATTACTATATGTTGAACTATTAAAATATTTCCATTTTTTTTTGACAACCACCCAAGATTTTAAAACAACAAAAAAATACAGTAAACATTTCTTGTAAATATAATTATTTTATGTAAAATTTTCAGTCCGTATATAACAGTAGTACATAAAATAAAGCTTTAAAAACTAACTATACAGCAATATTTTGAAAGTATATTGATTATACTTTTAAAAAGTCTACCATTATCTAAACATTTTTATATAGATTTTTCTATCTGACAATGCCTAATTTAGACAACTTAATAAACTGTGTGATGGTAAGAAAAATTAATGGATGAAATAACAAAAGTAAAGATTTCTCTATAAGCATAAGACTCCCTTTTTAAGTCTTAAAACAAATCAATACTGCAAAAAACATCATAAACTAACATTACAATTAGTTTTTTTTAAAAATTGTCTCATAGTAACATTATTTGATCACCAATAAGATAAATAAAGTTATTTGCTTTTTAAAAAAAAAGTAAATATTCTTAATATGTGAAACTGTTTAAAAAAAAAAATAAAGTAGTCTTCATGACTTCATGGGTTTTGATTAATGTTTTGAAGATGAATACCAGAAGTTGTGTCTTCTGGTAATCCAACATTAACATTCTGTTGATGGTAGGTGAAGGTGCCCAAATTGTCCTGGATGACCACTATGCTTTGACTGTATGGCTGGGACATCATCGTTGCATAATGTTGTATCTCATTGTTAGAAAGATCACCTGCTTCATATTCAAACTGTCTTTCTGCATAGTTTATAGGAATAAATGCTGTGCTTTGACTTGACTGTGACGTTGCTAGTGTTAGGTGACCTGATGCTGATGTTAGATGTTCTGGTATTTCAATGGCATGTGGAGAGACTGATATAATACTCTGTAAGGAGGAGGTATTGGTAGGAACAACATACTGTGAAGAAGAATAACTTGATGTGACAATGTTTTGATTCTGTGAGTTCATGGTTGAGTAATTGTCAGTTACTTGAACAACTTGAGTTTCCCCTGAGTCACTCATTATTACATTTGAGGCTATTACATTTATTGCACTGTTACTATACGTAGTGTTGGTATCTTTGAGAAGTGTAACACTTGGCTCCTCTTTGATGATAGAACCTTGTAGCTTGGAGCTATCCAATTCAGCATTGAACTGCTCATCGGCATTTAGGCATTGTGTTTTAGTTTTATTGTAGGAAGTCATCAGTGGATCTGATTCATCAGATGGGTTGGGTTGTGGAATATTTTGCTGTAGATCTTCAGTTTGTCCTTGAAACTGTGTGAAGTTTGATGGGCCTATACACACCACATCTGACTCAGTGCCCAGAACACTAATAAAAAAATCTGTTCTCTTTTGTGTATGACAAACAGTATCCTCTCGCCATAACTTTGGATCTTTTTTATGAATTAAAATCATGTGCCTACGTAAAACTGAAGAGTCTGCAAATGATCTCTTACATAATCCACATTCAAAAGGTTTTTCTCCCACATGTATTCTTTCATGGCGCACCATGGCTTGTCTTTGACTGAAGCCCTTCCCACACATTGAACATACATAATCTTTAGTTTCTTTGTGTACTTTCATATGAATTGTTAACCCGGAGGCTTGTCGAAAGGTCTTATTGCATATTTTACAAGAGAATGCCTTCTCACTTCTGTGCATAAATGCGTGTTCTTTCAGCGATTTTTCATAAGAGAATTTTTTCCCACACACTTCACATGCAAATGGCCGGATTCCTAAATGAACATTGGCATGCTGCATGTATGAATTCTTTTGAGAAAAGCCTTTACCACATGTTGGACAAATAAAACTTCGCTTCATTCCTAAATGATTAGACTTTATGTGGTAAGCTAGAACATATTTTGTACTAAAGGACTTGGAACAAAAATTACAGGGAAATTTTGGCTTTACATAATCCTCAGAATGAACTTTTTTGTGTTCGACAAGTTTCCTCACATCCTTGTACATTTTGCCACACACATCACAACAGTTTTCAGCCTTTGAATGACATTTCATGTGACGTCGCAAATCTTTTTGATACCCAAACTCCTTAGAACATATTTCACATGTAAACTTTTTAGTTAAGTGAACTCGTCTCTTATGCTCCTCAAGCTGAAGTGGCTTTGTGGTTTCATACGAACACATATCACACTCCAAAGTTGTTTGTTTTACCTTAAGCTTGTTAACAGTTTTTCTTTTCCTATGCCCTTTATTTCCAGTTTCTTGATCTGAATTTTTAAGTAACATGTTTTCTGTATCTTTTGTGTTTTGACTACTTTTCAAGATATTATTTTTACTGTGATTCTTTTCTTTGCCTAATTGATCAGTCATATTTATTTCAACATCTCTTAACATTTTAGATTCATCATCTGATAATTCTGTTTTTGAATGTAACTGATTAGTAGTGGTGTGGTTATTTATTGTGACATTATCAAAGTCATTATTATTTTGACTAGATAAAAGCTCACTAGCTTTTAGCACTTTGTTTTTCTCTAGCCTTAGTTTCTGCCTAGCTGACTGTCTTCTTTCACTTGGCATATCTAGTTTTTTATTTACAGGTAAACTTTTTTTACAACTGTATTTTATTTCTCCAACATTACAGTTATCTGTCCTTGTTTTTAATGTCTTTTTCTTTTTACGTTTTGAAACAATATGTTTCTTTAATTTATTTTTTGAAACAATTTTGCATGATTCATCTTGTAGCTCTGTAGAAGCATATATACCTTCAGATTTACTTGTTTCAAGATTGTCACTACCAAATTCTAAATGCAGATTTTCCATGTCGTCTAACTCCTCTTTAACCTCTTGTATTTCAGTATTATCACTGTTTAAATGACTGTTAACTTTGGAAGATTTTTTTCTATACTTTTCTATGGTTTCTTTCTTGTATACCTGACACAAAGCTTTTTCAATTTCAGTAATACTTGGTTGGTTACTTTTATTTGGCTTCTCTGCTTCTACAACAATAAACGGTTCAGGCAGAACCTTTTCTGTATTCGAAAATTTACTTGTTTTACCCCTTGGATTTGCATTAAAATACCATTTATCTTTTTGTGACTTGTCAAGTACAAACTTTTCTGTGGGCTCTGTATAACTAGTAGTATAAGTCTCTTCATTTTCTCCGTTGTTTATGGCTATCTGATGTTCTGCAAAACTATTATTGGACTTGCCACTGCTATTAAAAATGTTAGTACAATTTGACTGTGATGTAGCTGGTTTGCTCTCAACCGAATAGCCACTTTCTTTAAAGAGTTTGAATGCAGCACTAAAATCTTCTTCATTTGGTACAGCACCTTTTGTTATGGCACTACTTAAAGTGGAAATTAAGGTCTTAAGAAATGCATCAATCATAACAAGTGTTTTCCAGGAGCCTCGTATTGTAACTGGTCGCTGTGATGATACTGTTTCAACTTCTAATTTTAGAAACAGGTTTTGTAAATATAATTCCAGATTTTGTGGATAAGGAAAGGTATCCAAGTAGCTGTCTGCCATAACAACAGTTGCAAATGAAAATGGTGCCGTTACACTTACAGCGCAGTTGAATTCCATTTTTATTATAATTGTTGCATGCCGATTAACATAAATTAATAATTAAAACATTATAGAATATAGGCAGGTGCAATGTAGATTGTATGTAGAGTCCAGACAATTTAAGCGAAGTAGAAGGAAGTTAAATCGGGGACTAAAACAATTAGAATCTAGATCTAGAGATCTAGATCTAGATCTAGATCTATAATTTTAGTAAAATACACTTAGGTTCTACGACAAAAGCGAAAATTAATAAAACGATAATACTATACACCAAAACAAAACCAAACGTACCACTCACACCTTTTTTATATATTCGCTTCGAAAAAACAATCTGTACCTGCTTATTAAATTTATAGGACAACCCATATATTAAAATAAATTAACTGCAAATTAGTGAGACTTCTGATGTTGCCTTTCAGACGCAAGTTCAGAAATGCGCGGCTTCACCTTGAATTCATTAAGCGTTATGTTTCTTGTAATCATGCAGCTTAAGGAAAAATTTTCTTGATATTGCCTTTGCTAGACTAGAATGGCCCAACTTGTTGGTATTGCAAATAATCAGTTAGGACGCTGAATCCCATTTAATTCCGTAGTACACATGAATCAATGTTTTACATATTCGTCGGGTCACTTTCTTCTGTTTTGTTCGGCAGAGTTAGTATAAGGGGATTAAAATATTAGGAAATCTCACGAATTACCACCATAAGCCACATGTTGACTACTGGATTACGAAAAGTTTGGTCAATACAGCACATATATACACAATCAACGTGCGCCTGTTGGCACGATTCATGGCGTATAAGTGCCGTGACGTCAAGGGTTCCACATCATAGAAATATTACGATATCCGGACGTGTAACATCACTCTGGCGCACTTTATTACTATGTCGTGCTATCTCGCTGTCGTATTCAAACTGTCTACCCCCTCGTTGACTTAATCCAATCGTTAGTCATATGAATCGGGTGCGTTGATCTTGACCTCTGCCGAACCCATGAGGATGACTCCCCAATACTTTACACAATGTTTCGCTCGAACCCACGCAGTGAGTTAGAGGAAATAAATAACGTGCTCATTTTCTCTCAACCGTGTTAATTTCATAGACAGCCCGTGAGAGGAAAAAATAGGTCATCGATAAATGATCGGTCACGATTTTTTGACGATTCCTTCCCCGTCACACATCGTCACAAAAAGTCAGACCCCCCCCTAAAATGACGACACACCTTAACCTAAAAACACTCATAAATTTCAAATGAATTTTTTTAAAAACTTAATTTTTCTCTTTCTAAAATATTAAATAAGCTCGGTCAACATAGATAATTTTAATCAATTTATATTACAATTAATTAAAACAGTTTTCTAACTTAACTTTAAGTTAAAATAACGGTTAGAGTTTTTTAAAAGCAAAAGTGTGACCCCCCCCCTTCCCCCGAAGAAAGTCTACCCCCCACCCGAACGAAATGGAATTTATATAGAAAACATACTTTTAACAGTGTCCGCCCCCCCCCCCCCCCGGAAAATTTAGTCAGCCCCCCCCCCCCGAACATATTAAGTGCCCCCCCCCCCCCCCCCTGGAGAAAAAAAGTCTGGAAGAAACACTGTTTTTGTTGTTTTTTGTTCGGCTTTTAACAATTAGAGTAAACCAAAACATTTCAAATTTCTTCATACAGAAGATTGTTATTGTTGTTGTTGAGAGAAGTTGTCGTTATTTTATTGTATGACCTAATTTATTGATTTTTTTGTAACTTTGCAATACTTTGAATTTTGTAAGATTTCTATTTCAGCATGTATTAACCTTAAGTAGACTACAATAAATAGAGTTACTCTTGAAAATTATTGCCAAAAGTCATTATTCTTATTGAATATGATTCTCTGGTTAGGCCGATCTATTCTAGAGAATCTTCACTGAATCACTGAATCTAGGTTTCTGGATCAAACAGCAGTTCGGCAGCAAATTTGGACTTTGGATTTGTTTTGAGTTCTTGGTCACTAATCTAGATCTAGAATCTAGACCTAGACTTTAAAAAATTAATACCCGTTTCTCAGCGTTTGTTTACACTACTAGATCTAGAATCTACACCAAAATTAGGTTAAATAAAATATTTAAAAATATCATTCCTAGATCTAATCTAGTAATCATAATCATAGTCATGTTTAGGCCTAATAAATATTATTTATTAGGCCTATTTATTATTAGTAGGCCTATTTATTTAATATTTGGTAATCTATTGTTTTATTTTAGGTACAGTAAAATAAAAATCGCCTGGGGCTAGTAGATTCTAATGTACAAAAAAGTTACGTCATCGTCAAGGCTTTACTTTAATAGAAGTATTAAGTATAGTATATAGTATATAGTATATTGTGATATATTTGTGTCAATTATTATAGATAAATGAATAATAAATGCTAAATGGCTAAATATATCAGGTAATCTATCGTTTTGGGTAAGTAAAATCGCCCGCGACTAGTAATGTGAAAAACAGGTGACTTCTTAAAATTTAATAGTTATTTCACATTTTGAGGAGGATTTATATTTTGAAAAATACAAAAATGTTTTCTTGTTTCATTTAGGCCTATGTACCTGTTTTTAAACAATTGAATTAAACTTTTCAGTAATAAATGTCAATAAATGAAGACTAGCGAGTTTCCAACAGATGCAACCATGCTCATTTACAATAGCAGCCATATTAAGTTTTTTTTTTTAAACTTATAGCGCGAGATTCAGGGGGAAGCCATTCTATTTTACAAATGGCTGCTGTTTATCTAGCAAATCTTGCTAGCAAACACTGCTGTTTAAAGTTAATTTCTGGCCTATTTTTATAGATCTAGATCAGGGGTCTCCAAACTACGGCCCGCGGGCCGGATGCGGCCCGCGAAGTCCTCTCATCCGGCCCGCGGAGATCTTTTTGTCCTAGGAAAAATCGTTTGTTAGTGATGGCTGAGGAACTTTGCCCAGAAAAATCAAAGACATGCCTAGAAGAAACTGGCCCCCGAATTGAAATTTGATAGTTAATGCGGCCCTCGGATTGAAAAGTTTGGAGACCCCTGATCTAGATCTAGTATTCGAGAAATAGTTTAGTAGGCTTATTTCATTTTTTTTCCCAGTTACATTCTTTTTTTTATGACAACTAGACTCTAAGGAATTCTAAATTAAATATTTAATGATTTAATAAATATTAGGGCCTATTAAATATCTTTTTTTTAAAAATCTAATATTAAATTATTAGTTTATTAGGCCTAAATATTTTAATTAGTAGACTTTATGGATGACATTTTGAATCAACCTCTTTAGTATCTGTAGCAGAATGCCCCCTTTGACCTGACCTCAACCAACCTGTGGGCTTGTTGCATTGAGTTTGATATATATATTATACAGATCTAGGCCTATATGAAGTATATCTATATATAATATAGATCTATAATCAAAACATTTTTCTTAAAAATTTTTCATAAACTTATACTTTGTAAAACAATGTGACGTAGTTACGGCATGTTGATTTACATTGTCAAGTGAAATTTAGGAAAAACCTTATTGTTTTTGGCTTTTAAAAACTTTGTTTAAAAACAGGTACATGAATGAAACTTTGAAATATTTTTGCAACTTTCAAAACATAAATCTTCCTTCAAAGGAAATAATTACTAAAATTTAATGAGGCACCTTCTTTTCGCATTACTATCCTTGGCAGATTTTACGTACCTAAAGCGATAGATTACCCAAATATGTTCTAATACGTCATACAAAAACCACAGATTCCAGTTTTTATGACTGAACCTGTTTTAAAAACACTTCATCTGTTTTTTTTAAATATATAAAGGGCATAGTGTCATAGTAAATGCTTTCTAATTATTTTACCTGCTGTAACAGTTGTTCCATGTTAATGGAATCAATACATCTCCCAGCTTGAATATATTAACTACATCCTATGCTGGACTAAAACTTTCTATGTTAGTTTTTTTATTAAAAAATGCATAATATGCTTCTGTATTTAATTTTTCAAATGAACATTGTGATGGCAATCCATGTTTTTGCGCAGTGTTCTTGAAACAGAATGGGATGGCGAGGTCAGTAGGTAAAGTGTACGATTGGTCACACAAAAGTCTTGAGTCCGAAACTTGTAGTTGAATCCATAGGAAGTTACTGTCCCCCATGTTATGGAAAGCGAAAGCGATGTACTGCCTTGCTGCAAACTTTCTGTTCAAGTCTCTGATGTTTACAACAAGTTTTATTGTGACGATAGAAGTCAACATAATTTTGTGTATTCAAAATGTTTAGTCTCTAAGCAACGTTTGTGTTTCTAAGGTTTTGTAAAGTCATGACAGAACAACTTTGCACATTACACATTTTGGCTTCTCTATTCTAATGCTAGTCAGTTTGTAAAACCGATTTTATTGTAGTTTTCTGTTCAAATTTGGCACCCCCCTTAACCCCCCCCCCCCCCCCCTTAAGAACCACAAATTGGAAACCCATGGGTTTGTCCATTTACAAGGCTCAAAGACAGTCTTAAAACTTTATTTATCCATAAACATCTGTAAGAAACTGTCTTTTGAAAAGTGACGACTTCTATCTTATATTTGTAGTCTGTCATAAAAAAGGATTGCTTTTGAAAAAAATTAAATGAATTAAATAGAGGTTATAAGAAATTAAAGGTAGGTAGTAGCAATTTAGTAAAGTAAAATTGTGTACTTGAATAATTGTTGATTTCAAGTAAACACTGAATGATTGTGAGTCACTGTTGTAGGCCAAAGTCCAATGGATTTAAAATTAGCACAAGGAATTAAATTACTTTTGATTCTACTGTTTCAACTTAACCTGGAAGTTCTGACAAAAAGATAGGCCCTATCTCAGTTTTTTTTAAGTGAACTTATAAGTTTTAAAATTTTTACTTGCTTAAAGATATAACAGTGTAAGTTAGCTTCCTTGCTTAATTAGAATATACAGACAAGTGATGTGTTTATAAAAAAAGTGTTATTAACCCATAGCCATAGCTAATTAAGCTGTTAAAACAATGCGATGAAATGTTAATTTGCTTCTGTCAAATTACAACTAATTACCACTTCCATGTGTGCTAAAACTAATGGTCAGCTAAGTGTTTATATGTTGAAAGTTTAATCTTTCTTCTTTGTTCTGCAGGAGCAACTCTTTAAGTTTGAACATATGAATTAGTTTTGTTTTCAAGTTTTTTATTCTTTCATTTGTTTTTTCATAATCACAGATGTAAGATAGGGATCAGTTAAGTGGTTTGTTAATTATTTTTGTTCCTTGTCATTCAGGGGGAACGTCCAGAGTTTGAGCATCAAATCAATGAGTGTCTGACTGTACAGGGCCACTACCATCCACCATGCTTGTCCTACGCCTAGCCCGGCTGTTTGACTCAGTCAAACAAACTCTCTTTATAATTGGCTCAGGTCTTATAGTTTTCCTTGCCCTTAGGAATTCTATAGTATGGTAAGCATTGATTTTAATTTATTTTCTTTGATCTCTGGTCATGCACCAGTAAGCCTTTGCTGAATAATAAATAAATTTCTTATGGTAATTTTTAAGTATTGAAGACCTATATTTTTGTTTGGAATACAATAAAATAAAATTAACATGTTATAACTAGTTGAGTTATTAAGAAATGGGACTGAAGTAAAAAAAAAAAATAGATAATCAGTCATTTTTCAAAGTTGAATTAATATATACGAGCCGGCCCGCGGCATAACATACGCCGCTATTTAGTTGTTTCTAATTTTCAATAATTCATAATTTGTGAATTCGACAGTACCAACGCTGACACTGAAAATATTTCTTTAAAACACTATAAGTAGCTCGTTAAGGACCATAACCCCCCCCCCCCTTCCTTCCCTCCCCCCTCCTCCCCCCCCCCCCCCCCCTACGTTTAAAATCGTTGGCTCTGCTTGTAAACATTTAGAGTGAACACAGCTCACTAAAACCATGTAGGGGTGGGGAGGTAGGGAGAGCGTTTGCAGCTTGTTTTCTAACGGCTCGAAGAAGAGAATTATATATATAGATATGATTCATAAACTTTGTTCGAACTTGTCAGGCATATGCAGCAGTTTTGGGGAGCATCCGGAGACTTTTGGCAAAGACAATGGGAGAATATGTACACATTTTTTGGTCAGGATGAACTGCTAGTTTCCATCATCGGTGAGTTAAAAAAAATATTAATAAACTACTAAATTGCCAGCATGAATTTATACATTTTTGTAACATGACAAAAGAACCTAAACCATGGACATTTCTATTTTTAGGTTCCTTCATTTTTACAACATCTGTCTTCTGGCTTGCAAATTTATTCCTCATGATTCTTGATGTCACTGGATGGCCAGCATTTTTATTGAGATATAAAATCCAGGACAGCAAAAATTGCCCGGTAATTATATATTTTCAGTTATATCAAGCCAGATATCAATACTTATTTCAAATCATATTTACCAACATAATACATTAATATAAGAGTAGTTTTTTTCCAATAACCATTGTTATATTTTTATTGTGAAGTTATTAACAACAGTAAACTATCTGTCTTTAGCTGAGGTACCCAGATCTGATGAAAGCCGTCAAAACGGCGTTATTTAATCAAACGATTGTGGGTCTTCCAACAACTTTTGTAATCTACTACATGATGAAGTGGCGCGGCTGCTCCTGCTCACCTGATGACCTCCCAACCTTCCAGTGGGCTGTGGTTGAGTTGACAGTGTTCACACTGATTGAAGAGATTTGTTTCTACTACTCTCACAGGTGGGTTTTTTGCAGTTTAAGGCCAAATAGATTTTTAAAAGCCAATCCTTAAATTATAATTTTCGATGAATAGCCTTCATCAATTAGCTGTACTGAAATACTCCAGTGTATTTTAAATTTAAGGGCTTCTATGTGGGCTAGGTAATTTAGTTTAAGGTTAAGTGATAAAGTTATTATTTGAGGTTGAAGAATTATTGTTAGTGATAGTAGATCTTTATTACTAGCAATATGATTACTAAAGTATAGATAATCGTGAGTACCCATTTAAAATGTCTTTTAAAGTTGAAAATTTTCCCTCCAGATTGTTCCACCACCCTAAACTGTACAGACACATCCATAAACAACACCATGAATGGACGGCACCCATCAGCATTGTCTCCATCTACGCCCACCCTGTTGAGCACATCATCAGCAACATGCTCCCCCCTGCTCTGGGCCCCATCCTCCTGGGGTCCCACCTGGCTACAGCCTGGATGTTCTGGGCCCTGGCACTTCTCTCAACAACAGTGGCCCACTGTGGTTACCATCTGCCATTGTTGCCCTCCCCTGAAGCCCATGACTACCACCATTTGAAGTAAGCTTCTAACTATATACGACCCTCCATCATAGTTTGAGTCCATTTCCACAACTTGTTGACTTTAAAATAAAGTCTGAAATATTTGGAAGGATTAATATATTAATTGTTAAATTTTAGTTATCCCTGATTTTTTGTTCATTTAGGCAACTTGAATTTTAAAGAAACTCAGTGTGATACGCTTTTCTTTTTATTTTTTTACAATTAAAATCTTTTTAAAATAATCATATTTATTTAAAATCCCAAAATTAAACCTGTAAATTTATGGTCAAATAACTGGTAAAGAATTCACAGTATCTACACACATTGATGTGCTTTCAGGTTCAACCAAAACTTTGGTGTCTTGGGTGTCCTTGACCGACTCCATGGCACAGACACTCAGTTCCGCGCTTCCTTGGCCTACCAGCGCCACTTCCTCCTTCTCTCCACTGTCCCTGTGACCCAGCAGGTTCCAGAGCCCAATAAGAAGAAAGCTTGGTCAGAAGATACAGCTTGAGCTTTAACAGGCATTTACATCTGTTTGTCTGTGCTCGATTCAGCTAACTTTTTTTTATTAATCTGTTTGCAGATTGCTGCTTCGTCTTTTATATTATAATCAACTTTTGTTCTTAATTGCTGACTTTGATATTGCCAAAAAAAAAATTTCATTGTGTGAAATAATATGCATGTTTGAAAATCATTTTTTTTTAGGTATAGAAAAATAAATTTTTTTGCATAATTTCCAAAAATGATTACATGTTATAAATTTGAAGCTTAATTCTGGTTTTTTGATGGATAAGTAATGAAAACATTAAACTATATTTGTATTTCAAGAATTTATACATATTTTTTAATATTATCATATTAAATGAAATCCCTTGACTTCCTGGAATTGATCTTGCAGTAAATATTTTTTTATTTGTTTCAGAAAATAATTTATTATTCTCAAATGTATACATTTACCATATTCTTTGTTTTATTATTTAGACAAATTTGTGAATTTTAAGTAAACTGTAAATAGAATTTAAATACTACTAACACAGATACCTACAAAACTTCCCTCCCCCCCCCCCCTTTCATTGTATAAATTGTGATACTTTAAACAAAAAATACAATATTACTTGCAAGTATTACATTCTTTTTTCCCCTCATATTTACATGAAACTTGTTCAACAGTTGCTTTACACTTTACTTTATTAGGCTGTTGGCTTTCCCCATGTCATATTTTAAATTTTTTTTTTATTGACAAGAGAGAATGGTGCTTTTTCACTGGGCTGATTCATTTTCTAAAAACTGGTCAATTTACTGTTTTTTTTTATTATTTTAAAAATAATTGTGTTATCAATCTTGTTTTAACCGGTGAAGTAAGAAGTGCTATTAGACTAAAAATATTCTTTAGGGGGGAAAAAAATAGTTACTGATAATTATGTTTGACAAAACTTCTGCAAGTGAAGTTCACATTTCAAAGAAAAATTGTTAAACTTATTGAAATAAAAAAAAAACGTCTAAGTCACTCTGCTAAATTTAAGTAATAAGTTTTTTTCCCAAAAGTTGGAATAGTTTTACCTAGTTGGGGGGGACGTCTAATATTTAGCACTGCATAAAGCAGTGGTTATGGATTTTTCCCTTTATTGTGAGAAGTCTTTTAGTATCTTTAAAAACAGTTGTGTATTTAATTCTTCCAAAAACCTACCATGTTCATTCAATAATCAAAGCCATAGCAATGCACCTATTTATTTATTTAAAATTATATCATTTAAAAGAATATTTTGGAAATATGATCTTTTTATAATTTTTATACTTTTGTTTTAAAAATCAAATACTGGTAATAAAAACTTTTTGCAACATAAATGTATAAATAATGTTTGTTGTATGTTTAAATGTTGACAACCTTGGGTGATTGGAACAATATTTTTTTATTTTACAAGATTTTTTTAATTACTGATTTTGTGTTAATTTTTAATCTTCTGGCAATAAACAAAATTTTAGCCCTTTTACATGATTCAAGAATGCCAATAATTATTGCTGTGCTTCATTTTTTTTTTGTTTTACTTGATATGCTCTGTTTGAATATATAACCTTAATCTTTTTCAAAGAACTTTTAAATTTCGTTTTACCAGTCTTTTTTAAAAAAAATATATTAAGATAGAATTGCAACAGAATAAAATTTAGAGATTTAAAATGTAACTAGAATTTTCTTTTAAATTCAAAATGATAAATTGTTTTTATCTCCAAGAATGATGCACAAAATCATTAAAAATATATCAAAGGAGTGGTGTATTAAGAAATAAAAGTAGTCTTTTTTACTTTCAGTATTACATTAAAATATCATTTTAAAAATTAATTTTCTATCCAAAGCAGATTTTGTCTATGATATTTTTTGTACATAACCAGAATCTTCAGTTCAAAGAAATTCTCATTTTGATGAATATTTACAGTTGTAAATATAAATTCTGTTGTATTAAAGTGTTTATTTTGAATTATTTTTGTTTAGTTTCTTTTTAGCCAAGTATTTGAACAAGAAAAGTGTAAGATTTGTGGTTAACACACCATTTAATTTTTTAGAACAGTTTTGAATGAAATCAGTCACATAACACATGAGAAGATTTATACATTGTGGTTACAGGGGAAGGTAACTCTCAAACAGTTATTTTACTCATGAGCTTTCTAATGCGAAAGTAAATCCATAAGAATGCTGGTTTTCATTCAACTTTGCTAATGTTAATCTCTCATTCAGTAACAACCTCCTCATAGTTAGTAGTTACGTTGAACTGTTTTAATGCTAACCATGCACTTATTCATTCAAGATGTGAAGGACATTCATTTCATTGAATAAAAAAAATTATATACACAGATTTACACAAATAGTTATTTACATAGATTTACAAGTTTGTTTACAGACTGCATTCAAAGCAGGGCATCCCATGCCAAGTCTGACAATTTTTTTTTTTACAATAAATGAACCATCAAACAAATTGACATGAAACCTTTTGTTTTAAATATGAAAGTTAGTGGTTATATGAAGAAATATTCACAGTAAATAAATAACAAACAACCATATTTCTGCGAGATTCTTGCTAGAGTAACATGATGCTGGACCTCGTCTGACAAATTCCTTGTACAAAAATGATTTAAAACAATTTAAAAAAAAAATATTCGGTTAAAAAATTGATGTAAAAACACAAAGGAATATCTAGTGGCACCTTTAAAAAATATTTTCAAATTGTTTCTAAACCGTAGATTTTAACCAAAAAAATGTATTGATGATGGGATTTTAAAAAATTGTGAAATTTCATTTAAATCAGCGAAATGATATGGTTTTAAACTGTTCAATAAGGTATTTCAAAACAGCTTCTTAAGCTTAAGTTTTTAAAATTCTGTAAATGTTTTTAAATAATTTAACACACCTCACTAACATGTTTTCAATATGTAAAGACAGTGAACACATTTTTTTAAAATAAAAAATTCAGATGAAGTTTGAGATTTCCAAACATTTCAAAGGATGCTAGTTCATATAATCAAATCACACACATGTCAATGAATTTGTTTTTACACAGACTGGTAAAACACAGATACATATCACTTCCAGCCATAATAAAACACATTACAAAAATTATGTAAAAAAATTATGTAAAATTAAAACGTAATAATCATGAACAAATTGTTTTACAAAATACATACTTATTTCTGAATCTAAAAAAGAGTTGTTTTTAATCTTGTCAAGAACACAATTTTATTAATGCAACTTTTAAAATAAAACTAACATGCTTGGTTTTGTCAGAAAAAAACTGACATTTTAATTGAAAAGGTAGTGGGAACCAGCTTTTTTCAAATATAAAAGTGTAACTCAACATCCACCTTCCAACTTTGTCTATGATTTCTGATTGGCTATGGTTTGGAATCAGATCCTGGATTTGTTCCCAACTCTACAAGCTATGTTGCTGAACGGTCTGGTATACTTTTCTTTAGTTCCTGGATTTGTTCCCCACTCTACAAGCAATGTTGCTGAACGGTCTGGTATACTTTTCTTTAGTTCCTGGATTTGTTCCCCACTCTACAAGCTATGTTGCTGAACGGTCTGGTATACTTTTCTTTAGTTCCTGTATTTGTTCCCCACTCTACAAGCTATGTTGCTGAACAGTCTGGTATACTTTTCTTCAGTTCCTGGATTTGTTCCCACTCTACAAGCTATGTTGCTGAACGATCTGATATACTTTTCTTTAGTTCCTGGATTTGTTCCCCACTCTACAAGCTATGTTGCTGAACAGTCTGGTATACTTTTCTTCAGTTCCTGTATTTGTTCCCCACTCTACAAGTTATGTTGCTGAACGATCTGGTATACTTTTCTTTAGTTCCTGGATTTGTTCCCCACTCTACAAGCTATGTTGCTGAACGATCTGGTATACTTTTCTTTAGTTCCTGGATTTGTTCCCCACTCTACAAGCTATGTTGCTGAACAGTCTGGTATACTTTTCTTCAGTTCCTGTATTTGTTCCCCACTCTACAAGCTATGTTGCTGAACGATCTGGTATACTTTTCTTTAGTTCCTGGATTTGTTCCCCACTCTACAAGCTATGTTGCTGAACAGTCTGGTATACTTTTCTTCAGTTCCTGTATTTGTTCCCCACTCTACAAGCTATGTTGCTGAACGATCTGGTATACTTTTCTTTAGTTCCTGAATTTGTTCCCCACTCCACAAGCTATGTTGCTGATCGGTCTGGTATACTTTTCTTTAGTTCCTGGATTTGTTCCCCACCAAGAGTAATTTTGTCATCCAATTCCTGTAGATCAATGGTCAGTTTGGACTTCATCTTGATGTAGTGAGTGTAGTCCGAAAACTCCACATGGTCCAGTCTCTCTCTTAAAACCAGGCTTAGCTGATCACTGCGTTTGTCTATGTCATCTTTCAGTAGCTTGGCCTCTTCATGTTTAGCTGAAAGCCTTTCTCGTTTATCTTCAGTCATTTTCTAGAATAAATATTAATGAAAAAAAATTAAGCATACTTTTGTTGGATTACATCACAGATTTTTTTAAAGCTAAGAAACTGATACTTTACTATTTCTTGAAAAGAATAAATACCCACTTGCTCCCCCCCCCCCCCCCCCCCCCTGAAAAAAAAAACAAAAAAAAAAAACAAATTTAAAAGTGTTACAAAATTTGAATGAGACTAAGACATCAACACTTACTTTAATTTTAGCGTCAACATTCGCAGGCAATGCTTGCAGGGCATTCTCAGCCCTAGCCAGCTGACCAGACAAGTTGAGCAACAGCCTGACAATTTTTTCAAGGTCATCTATGTAAGTCTTAAACTTGTCTTTTTCACTCTGAGACTGGCACTTGGTCTCCACTATCACCAGCACCTGTCAAGGAGTAGTCAAACAGCTGTTAATAGGTAAATCTACAGCCAAAATGTCAATTACTGTAGCTGGTAAGTAGCCCACTACAAACATGTATACCATCAAAATTAACTATTGTTATTTGTTGACAAGCACCACATTAATGCCAACCACTATCTGAATTTAACAAGTAGCCCCCCCCCCCCCCCCCCCTGACAAAATCATGAAAATGCCAACTACTGTTTTTAATTTTATGCTATAAACTAGAGAAGATCTACTGATCTAACTACAAGATTTAATCTAGAATCTAGTAGAATTTAGCTAGATCTAGGTAAGTGTAGTAGTTACACTACTAGTTAGTAGCAGTTATTCTAAAATCTAACTAATTTTTTACTAAAGTCTAAAAAAGTAAAGTGCAAAAACTTCAAAAAGTCAATCTCAGTTAACAAGCACCATACGAGCCTCACTCAACCAATAACAAATTCACCCACTAGGTGGGGGCAAGGGGGGGGGGTGGCACTACACACATTTTAACAACTCTAAACAGTCACCAATAAAAAACATCAACAAACAACTAAGATAGCATTTATCAGTGAAAGTATCAGTGCCACACCGTTGATCCCTACAAGACTTTAAACCAAAACACGAGCAGTAAACTGCTAGAACTGCCTGTCAACATACCTCCTTGCCCAGCTGCTCGTTCTCCGCTATCTCTTGCTGTAGGACAGCCTTCTCTTCTTTCAACACTTCCAGTTTTTTGTGGAGTTTATCTATCAGCTCTTCCTACAGAGGGTAAATGTTTTCATTTAGCTTTAACACACACATGCTTAAACCAGACAATAATATTTACTATAAAAATAAAACTAGACAAAACTTCTTTGTTGATACTAGATCTAGATCTAGTAGCGTAAGCAGAACCCCAACCCTACTGCATACGCCACTGGTTCATATTTACACATAGAATCTAGACCTAGCCCAAGATTTATTTTAATTTTTAGCATTACACTAGAAATGACTAGAATGGACAAGAGATGAGCTTTTTACCTTCTGTTTCATAAGAGCGTTGCTATCGGTAATGTCCCTTGTCATAACTTTACCGACTTCTTCATTTTTACGGAGTTCCATCTCCATCTTAGCTTTGGACGTGGACACGTAATATTCTTTGGGTAAAGAATTTCTATGAAGAAACAGAAATACATGACATTAAATAATGCATTATCCAATCTGGATAGTGTAGTTTTATATCTACAAATGTTTATGTGTGTATAGGTGTGTGCGCCTGTTAGCGTCTTCAGTTCCGCGACACCAACCAAGTAGAAGAAACGCAAAGACCAAACATGTCGATCAAAGAACCCAGGATATTTACCCCCCCCCCCCTCTCCATTTTCTGGTTGACTTTTGGAGCGATTTCTAACGTTCGGCGAAGCTCGGAAATAAAACACGACTGTTTAAACTACGGCAACTAAAAATGACTCGTTTAGAGCCCGAAGAGAGAAGCAGAAAACAGCAATGTTTTACATCATTCAGCACTTGTCCATTCTCTTTCACCTAGTTAATGAGACTTAACTAGGCATATGCTCCACATAAGCACATTTTACGACATTCTTTGAGTACATTCTCCACCACCTGATGAAAGCTAGCAACAGGAGGCCTGCGCTGCTAGCACTAACAGAAAATGTCAAACGGCCAACGCCTTCCCAGATCACAGAGGAATGCCAGAAATGGTGGTTTCCCTATGGGGGGGGGGTCGAGAGGGCTGAACAACGTTTGCTTAAGTAGGTGTATACATGTGTGTGTGTATGTTGTTGAACAACACATCAAACCAGAGTTTCTTTCAGGCAGCTCTTCAAGCCCCCCCCCCCCCCCCTAATCGAAATATAATTTCTATAGAAAATATATACTTTTATCAGTGCCCGCTCCTCCCCACCCGGAGAAAAAGTCTGAAAGAAACACTGCATCAAACAGGCGAGTGGATTTGACGCAGGTCAGCGTAGAGTTGAGATAGCATGGCTCACACTAGCCTCAAACACCACACACGTAATAATTTAATAAAACAATATTTTAAACATTCTGGACAAGATATTTTTGTTGTCAATTTCCATGTCCGTGGAAATAAAATCCATTCAATTTCAATGACCGTATTTTGACGAGACATTTGTAAATCAGATCCAAACTAAACAAAGGCACACAACTCATGGCAGAAGCAAAACGACAGACGATAATTTTTGGTAGGGTGGACTATCAAGTAGACAGTTATAGGGTTTGCTATTTCACTCGGCTCACTGTCCACAGCAATGATGTATTGACCACGTGATCAGTGGCGTAGCGAGGGGGGGACGGGGGGTGCGGACCGCACCGGGTGACACCATTTAGGGGGGTGACACCAAGGTAAAAAATAGCAAAATATATAGAGAAAATAATAATTCCACTTAATTAAGTGATTAATTCGAGTATTAAATAGTCTTTTAAGAGGTGCAAATCGAAAGTTTGAGGGGGGGGGGGGGGGGTGCAAATCGAAAGTTAGCAAATCGAAAATTGAAAGTTTGTTCCCGGGAAGGGTCGCTACGCCTCTGGGGGGTGACACCATTAAGTGACCGCACCGGGTGACACCCGACCTCGCTACGCCACTGCACGTGATCATTGTGATGACACTTAACTGTGTACATATGATATGCTGACGTGTAACTGTCACACACAAGCTGTGTATGAGCCTACTTACTACACAATTTTTAAAAAGACAGTTTTTATATTTTTCAATTTTCCGGTCGGTGATACCTACCACATTATTTGAACACCATATCTCTTTGAAACCAATGAATCTCAACACAAACAATCCATTATAGGCCTACCCTTTGATGGCAGATTGTAGTCACCGTGACATTAAAGGAAAAAAATTGAAACAAGCTACGATCAGACCGGATACAAAATTGTGTGATGATGTACATCGATAGATCCGCTAATGGTTAGACTGAGATTAAAACTAACTTTATGAGAGAACACTACATCGTATCTCAGTCACAGCATAGATTAGTTCGAGTCTATTTGTAGAAACATTTATCTACACACTAGCCGTCCCGGCCAGGCCCTGCTCTGGCTTCTGTGAAAAACCTTTCTGTTAAAGACCATCACCTGTGTGTTTAGTAATCATCATAAACCCGGCATTGCCCACCCAAACCACAACCAACCAAAACCAAAACAACAAAACGCAAACATAACGCTAACACAATTACAAATACAAACGAAAACAAAAACTTACAACAAACCAACCACAACCACAAACACCAATACGAACACAAAGAAAAAAGCAAACGAAAACAAACCAAATCCAAACACAAAACCAACCACAAACACAAACCCAAAGAAAAAAACAAACGAAAAAGCAAACGAAAACAAACCAAATACAAACGCAAAACCAACCACAAACCCAAAGAAAAAAAACACAAAAGAAAAAACAAACGAAAACAAACCAAATCCAAACGCAAAACCAACCTCAAACACAAATACAAACACAAACCCAATGAAAATAAAACACAAACGAAAACGAAAAAAGAAAGAACAAAAACGAACCAAATCAAAACGCAACCACTAACGCAAACCCAACCTAAACACAAAGAAAACACTAACGCGAATATAAACGCAAAGTGCTCACGGGGCTGAATCGCCTACTTCAACTTAATAAACGACTATAGTACCCCAACTTATTCATAGTCTTTTGCACTCACTTTAATGAACGTAGGCGTGAAACCGAACACGGGAGGCCCGGGACCCCAAAAAGCTCCCTGTCTGGGCGCCAGAGGACGCACCATGACGTCACCGCCTGATTGAACTTAGTAAACGCCTATAGTGCATAACTTATTTATAGTCTTTTGAACTCACGCGAACGTAGATACCATAGCGTACACCGGAAGGCCCGGGGCGCCAAATAGCACCCTGTCGGGGTGCCGGAGGACGCCCGGATTTGATTCACTTAAAGACTATAGTAACCTTTCTTATCCATAGTCTATCGCACTGTTTAAAACAAAATTATGCAGCATAGCGCTCACATGATAGCCCAGGGTGCCAAATCAAACCGCGCAGGGGCGCCGGCGGACGCGCCTGTTTCAATTTAGTGAACAAAAATGATAATACTCCAAGCTTATCCGTAAATGGAAAGAAATAAACGTATATGATTTGTAGGACCTGGCTTATTAAATGTTATTGATTTTAAAAAAAAAATAATAATTATTGAACAGTATGTTCAGTGTATAGAATAAATAAAAGGCAGTGTTAAAAATACCTAACGACATTGCACTTAATCAATCCCCGCTAATTGTGTAATTATTTTTTTTTTTCTTAACACCAAAAACAAAGTAATAAAATGTTAATTCTCTCTTCTTAAGGATTTATTTTTCATTAAAGGGAAGTAACTTTGCAGTCAATACATTTCCGACACAATTTTAGAAATTTTATAAACGTCGATACACTTTTTAAAAATTTTATGTCGTGTTCATAATTGAAAATTATTCTTCTAAGTAAATAGAATGAAAATTGTTTTTAAAGACTTTCAATGGTAATTTTTCGACTCGTAAATTTAGACTTTGAGCACGATAAAAAATATAACACTTAAATCCGTAGAAGTGTCAACGACAAACTTTTTTGTTTTTTGCCACACGTTACAGAACTGAGCTTTATATATTAGATTAGATTAGTGACGTATTCATCTTAATGTGTCACCGAGATTCAGATCTAAATTTAGCTTTGATAACTAACACACCAAGGGCACAAATATGTAAATGTATTTTGTGTGATTTATAAATATGTGTTAATAGTGCGACAAGATGGTTGTAAACCCTGTTTGATTCTCTAGATGTCTAGACCATTAGATTTAGACAACCTGGGGTAGAGGGGGGGAGGGTGCTAACAGTCAATCTTTTGATGTAGACATGTTCCCCCCTCTACTGCAGACGCTGTTAAAGCAGGTTAAAAGAAAGCACCCGCCTCCGCCAGCGCAGTCAAGTGTTGATAAAGAATCTTATCCCATAAATGTTTCGCACATTTCCTCTTTGGCTACACATATCAGATGGAAAGTCTAGTGATCCACGGGTTGATTAAAAAAAACACTTATTGAATTTTGTTACTTTTTGCCTTGTGTATTATACTGCTTTGTATGTTGTACTGTCGAAAATTCTAACCATGCCACAATAAGAACCCCAACCCTAAATCTAACTTTAACCCTACCCTAACCACAGTGTGGCAACTTATTTTACATAAACTGTAAAGAGTGCGTAAATTTAGACTTTTTAAATAATTGACAATTGACTTTTTTGTCCCCAAGGTACGATTGTCCAGTATTTGATACGTTGTACCATTGTCCAGTATTTGATACGTTGTACCATTGTCCAGTATTTGATACATTGTACCAATGTCCAGTGTTTAATACATTGTACCAATGTCAAGTATTTAATACATTGTACCATTGTCCAGTATTTGATACGTTGTACCAATGTCCAGTATTTAATACATTGTACCATTGTCCAGTATTTGATACGTTCTACTACTGTAAACATAAAGGCATCAACGCTTACCTCTTAGAAGGATCAGACAACGAACTTTCAAGTTTCTGGTGCTGGGGGCTGGAAGTTTTGAGCGAAGACCTGGTGCTGTGATTAAATCCGGGCCTCTCAGAGAAACCACTTCCGGCGTCCATGGACTCTGAGAAGAGGCCGTCCATGTACTGCATGCGTTTCTTGGTGACGTCCAGCCTCAGGACGTCCGACAGTTTCTGGTCCTTGTCCTCCAGCTCCTGGGCCAGCTGCTTGGCTTTCTCGTCACACTCCAGCTCCTCCTGGGACGGCTGCCGGCTGTGTCCGGCAGACACGTCACTTCCGCTGTGGTCAGAGCGAGCAGACGACTGCACGCTGCTGTCGGACCTGCGACGCGACGTGTCGGTGACGACGGTGAGTTTGTTTTCAGGACTGGATGCGGAAGACATGGGTTTTACAGGCGCGCTTTCTCTTCTTTGATAATCCCGAGGGGGGAGAGACATGGGCGGTAGTTCTTCATCCGCCCGGAAGTCCCTGGTGTAATTGTTGTAGTCTTGACTAGAAGATGGCGAGGATGTCTTCAGAGAGTTGGCCCGTGGGTCGGTCTGAAGACTCCTCCTCTGAGGCGAGTATTGAGAGACCGGGCCATTACTGGACTGGGCCCTCTGGCCATCTTCAGATGGCCACCGGTACGACTGGTTTTCATGTTCATATTGGCCTTGGTCAGACCATTGACCTGGCTGTTGGCCGGGGTCGAAACTTCGAGGATCTGTCAAAGGTCGTCTGGAGTCCCACGTCTGCTGTTCCACGGCAGGAAGTGTTGAAGCGCCACCTGTGGGGTGACCTGCTTGTCTGGCCTGTAGACTAGGCCGGGCTGGGCGTACGGGTGGGGCGACGGTTGCAGAGACCAAACTCTCCTGTGAACTGACCGCGCCGCTGTCCCCATCATCCTTCGAGTCAGTGTGGGTCAGGACAGACTCGCTGTTCCAGGACTGCTGTCCGAGCTTCTGCTCCTCGCTGTCCGCGCCGTTGTCCGGCAAGACAGCCGCGGACTTTGACCTCTGGTAGGTGCCAATAGCGCGCGTCTTTTTGTTCTTGTGTCCTATGTACGAGCCTTCTGCAAATCTGGAATAGAGAACAGCAGGTTAACATCACCTTGACCTTTCACATTAGTAACCTTTCACACTATTACTCGAAATATAAAATTAGAAATTTTTTTTTATAGAAGTGGAACAGTTTTGATACATTTTAAAAATAAATAATTGAAATGTAGCGGTGGGGTTTGGGGATTATGATTTAAGTTAACTGCATGAAATAATAGGCTTAGCATAAAAACAAATTACAATTAGATAATAAAAACTACGAAAATTACACTGACTAATTAGATTTCAACACGACGGATAAATTACGCCACGAGAAATATTAATGCGTTACAAATGATCGGTAAACAAATAAATAAAACGCATAGGCCTACATGATATTGAAGCATTTTGGAACTTATCTCCCCTTCGCTGAATTTTGGCAGCTTATGCGTGCAAATCAGCAAACAACCGATAAAATAATCGCACCCATTACGATGACACAGTATCGGATTTTCCCCATAACCCATCACTTGGTTTGGTGCTGTGTCGGATTTCCCCCATTAATTGATGGGGGTGCGCTACAGGATTTCCCCCATTTTTGTTCATCATCTAAGACACAACATATTTTTTGTTTGTGCGCGCAAGATGCCAAAGCGATAAAGTAAAATGTCAGACGTTGTGTTATGAGCCAACGCCTTGCCTGCAGTCTGGAACCAGCAAGCTTTCACTCGAGGTAATTGCTGTCTGTATGCGCACATTAGGAAAGGGATCAGTTTTCTTTCCCCTTAGAGATGTGATCCCTTGTTGTAAACAAACAAAGCATCCCATCTACGTCATGCACCCAGCACCGCGCCCCTAACAGCGGGCGCGGGGGACAGGCTGTGATGTTGATCCAGCGTTTGATGTGTTGTCGTGTTGGTGCCGTGTTGATTTGGTTCAACGTGTCGAGATTAGCACATCACGTTTCTTGTTATAACTTCACATGTCTTACACTAGACGAGGTATCGGCTGAGTCAGTCATGCATGACAGACATGCACTGACAAAGTGAGCATAAGTGCATGGCATAGGGATATGGTACGGCCTGGTCGAATGGTAGAGCATACGATTGCTCGAAAGTCTCGAGTTCGTATCAAGTCCGCAAAACGTCCATGAGTCCACGGGAGTCGCAGACTGGGATATAAGACCTTGGGGGTCGGAGACTGGGATATAAGACCTTGGGGGTCGGAGACTGGGATATAAGACCTTGGGGGTCGGAGACTGGGATATAAGACCTTGGGGGTCGGAGACTGGGATATAAGACCTTGGGGGTCGGAGACTGGGATATAAGACCTTGGGGGTCGGAGACTGGGATATAAGACCTTGGGGGTCGGAGACTGGGACATCATGAGAGCTCGGGGTAGAAGCAGTGTTAGGGTCGGGACAGAGTTCCCAGAATAACATGTGCGAGCCTAGGTAAACAATGGTCAAGTTATGTCAGGTGTGTACTTGTGTACTCTGGTTATGTCAGGTGTGTACTTGTGTACTCTGGTTATGTCAGGTGTGTACTTGTGTACTCTGGTTATGTCAGGTGTGTACTTGTGTACTCTGGTGATGTCAGGTGTGTACTTGTGTACCCTGGTTAAGTCAGGTAAGAAGCTGTGATATACTCAACTTGTTGCAAACGTGTTAAGTGTTAGCTCTATCAGCACATGCTTAAGAGTGCTACACCATGTCTAGTTCAAGGGAAGGGGGGGGGGGAGGGCTTTAACAGTTAACGGTTTCGTCTAGGTCAGTGGGTCTCAAATGTAGCCTATTTTCTAAGTGACCTCAAAAGTTATTATAGTTGTCTAGTTCAGGGGCCTTAAAATGTGTCTTGTTCAGGGACAATAAAATATTTGTGTCTAGTTCGCAGAATGTAAAAAAGTTGTTCAGTCTAGTTTACAACCATCTAAAAGCTCTTAAGAAAGTACACCTTGCGATGTGAAGCTTAGATCTTGATAACCTGATGGATTGTGAAGTGGATCTTAAAAGTTGAAGCAGAGTTCAACAGTTTGTGGAACATCAGAACGGAAGTGGGGGTGGCTGATGGGATACAGTGGGAGACACGGTACCAATGGTGAGTACATTGTTGGCCAGCTGCTGTAGGGGTGGGTGAGTGCTGGATGGAGTTTGGGCGACGACAGACCTTGAAGAAATAAGCTGGCTGTATGGGTTAGGGTTACAGCCGTCGGGTTTATGTAAACATAGGGAATTCGTGCATGTGGGGTGTAGCTAAAAACAATATACACAAGACACGTGTAAGTTATTGAAGGACTTTAAAAAAATAATCATAATCTACTGCTATACCCTGGCATATCATAATAGAAATTATGCGTAGAATTTTAGTCGAAATAAGTTGTTTGATAACAAATGCGCTTTAGTACTCAAAGATAACGTATCGCCAAAAAGACATTCACATACAAAAGTAAAGCTACTACAGAAATGTGAAGTACATTCCTATCTCTATCGCCTTTCTCCCCCCATCAAAGCCCCGATACATGCAGCAGATATTCGCTTATCTCCAACCACGGCAGAACTCACGTACGGCACGTGCAAGGATATGACAGGTGGCACGAAACAACGATGGCAGCGGATCCACATCAAAGTAACCTTCGCATGTACTCCCTCTGTTCCCGATTAGCCCAACAGTGCAACAGATAGCATGCGCACCGCGTGCTTGTCTTGGTGCGCACCGTGCTTGTCTTGGTGCGCACCGTGCTTGTCTTGGTGCGCAGCCATATTGGTACAGCTGAGCTGTAAATAGATATCTTCCGTACATCGTGTTGTACTTAAACACAAGCTAGATTTTCCAGGTTTTTTTTAGTGTGAAGAAAGGTGCAAGTCTTGCGCTCATTTTTCATCGAGGTAGTTGAGTAGTTTCTCAACCTGGCACCGTTACAGTGGCACGTGATCAGTGAGACTTTCGTTTTCTGCATTAAAGAACTGGTATAAAGCATGATCGTTTTAACCTCATCGACAGATTTATCCCTACTATCGCACACCGTCACTTGAAAGTGTTGCTGCACAAAACATCTACTAAAAAAAAAAAAAAAAAAAGAAGAAAATCAGCTGAGTATAGCTCTCTGGTGGTGAGGAAATCTATTGAGAGTTCATCTGTTTCAGTGAGCTCAGCATATAAAGGGATAGCGTGGCCAGTAAGTCAGGTACTCATCAGATCTGGGCGGACTCAGGGACGTCTAAAGGACTCGAGTCCAGGATCCAAACTCGACTTTCGGGTTAGTAGTTGCTTGCTTTACCGCGCCGACCACACCGTTCCATGTTCAGTTTTTTTAGCTGTCGTCACTAATGTTGATAACTATTAATCAACTGCTCTACCCAACACCTCCCTGATAACTACTGAAATGGTCAGCTTTTTATTTCAATTAATTTAAGTAATTTAAATAAGAAACATTTTTTTCTGGACCAAAATATTTGCTCAACAAGAATGTCCACATAATCTAACAATAAACTTTCCATTATGGAGAAAGGCGCCATAGTTTTCCCCTCAATGGCTTATCTTCCGATTATATCAATAATTTCCAGAATTCCATAACAGCAGCTGATTTTTTTCCCCTGTGAAATATGCGGCATTTCTCTAAACGATAAAAGATTGTATCTTGTCAAAAGAGAAAGGTGGGAGCAACGCTAACCGGTTTTGCAGAGAGCCACGTTTTGACCTTTGCCCCAAAACAAAGTTGTTTGCCAGAGTTACGTCCCCATTAAATAAATTTGGCTCAACCTTGCGCTGTTTACCTGGCCACCTCCCATCGTCCCGCCTGAGTTATCTCCATTTGAAATCGTCAGCTGATTCCGTGCTACTTCAAGCGAGACTAATTGTTGGCTTGGAATGTAGTATTTCGAAGCTAATAAATAAGCCTGTACAAACTCTAAAGGAAAACAAGATCGGCCCTTTCGATTCTTACTGTCTTTATAGTTAAATAATTTCTTCAGCATATTCGAAAAGATACTCCTCCAATTAGACAATGCTAACAATAACATTAAGTTGTTGATCTTTGCTTATTATTTGATGACTAACATAAATGGTCAACAGAACGTTTGTGGATGTTGAACGCTCCCGGTGAATTTGATTGGTCGGTATGGTGACAGTCGCATGTCTCCCCATCAATGAATCATACATCGGTATTTGTTGGATTTGAAATATGAATCAAAATGTTGCCAAAACGAGGGCAGGTGTTTATCGATTTATTCAAATAGGAATGGCAAACACGTTTCAACGGTTTAAATTACGGTGTAAGCATTTAACTCATATGCCATCACACAATTTCAAATTCAAGAGTTTTTGCAACACACAAAGCAGCACACATAATTTTACACATAATTACACATGAAAATGTGTTAAAGCGATCGTTATTCATAGCAGTAAAAATAATTTTCCAAACTTAGGCTAAATTCTTACTGTAGGCCACAGCTGTGAGATAAGCACGGATTAAATGTAGTATGTTGTCGATGTTGAGTGGAGCTTACAGCACAAAGACAGGTTGCCATATGGGGTGGTTTAGATTGCTGTAAGTAATGGGGTGGGTTAGATTGTGAGTGATGGGGTGGGTTAGATTGTTGTGTGGTGGGGTGGGTTAGAGTGTTGTGTGATGGGGTGGGTTAGATTGTTGTGTGGTGGGGTGGGTTAGAGTGTTGTGTGATGGGGTGGGTTAGATTGTGAGTGATTTGAGTTGCTCTGGCGTCCCACGCCGTTTTTAACTATACAGGCGCAGCGCCTTGCTGCACAAATGTGCAGTATGCAGGAGAACACACATGGGTCGCAGCGTCAAAAGTGCAGGGGAACATGAACCCTGCTCATGCAGAACGAGGGGTGGGGGGGGGGGGGGGGTAAATGCGTCTGAGCCACGGTTCAAAATATGTGCTGCTGTTAGGAGCGACGAGATGGCGAACGTTTAGACTTAATGAATGGCGAACATTCAAGATATGTGAGGGATATGTGTGTGTGTGTGAGGTGTGTGTGTGAGGTGTGTGTGAGGGGTGTGTGTGAGGAGTGTGTGTGTGAGGTG